ATTAACCAATAAAAGCAACAGATTAGAAAAAATCACTCCCACATCAATATATGTTGTGTGCATGAGTATACCTATGTTTGTGCATGCATGAATGTATGTGTGGTATGTATGCATGTGTGTGTATGTGTGTGTGTATGTTTGGGTACATATGGGTGTGTATGTGTACATGCATGTATGGGTTTGGCTTGTCCACAAGTGTTTGTGTATGCATGTGCATACCGGCACACACACATTTGCCTTTCCATTCATGCTATAGGTCTGATTTTCTGTCTTCCTTCTTCTTTCCTAGGGCAGAGCTAAAGCAAAAGGTCTCCTCAGCTTCTGTCTTCAAAGGCTTTACTCATCCTTTACTTCCAAGGGTAATTTTATTAGACACAGAATTCTAGATTGCTGACATTTTTCTTTCAAAGTGAAATATTTTACTTTATTCCCCTCTAATTTACATCTGACAAGAAGGCGCCAAAAGTCTCATCATTGTCTTCTTTCAAGGCTTCTATTTGCCTTTGGTTCCCTATAATTTCAATATGGTGAACACAAAGGCGAAGATTTTGAGTATTTATCCTGCTCAATGTACTCCACGTTTCCTGAATCTGAGTTTTATTGACTTAAGTGCTTCCATTATTCTGGCTCCATTCTCTCCCTTCTCTGGTACTGTATTATGTGGATGTCAAACCTCTGAAACGGCCCACAGTTCTTGGATATTCTGTTCTTTAAAAACATTATTTTTTGTACTTGCGTTTCAGTTTGGGAAGTTTCTACTGGCCTATTTTCAATTCCACAGATCCTTCTCCTAGCTGCACGAGGTATAAAGACAAGCCCAGGAAGCCAGTCTTCATTTTGTTGCAGTATTTAACACTTCCTTCTGATTCCCTTAAAAGTTCCCAGCTGTCACTAGGTTCCCACTCTTCTGCAGTGCGTTACAGTTCTCAGTGGAGTCTCAATATTGACTGCCATGTTTATTTTAAATCCTCTATCTGATTGTCTGAAAATCGGCACTAGGCACATCTGAGTTTGGTTAGGAGTCACAGTTTGTTTAGTCTTCTTGACTTTTTCTTGCCTTTTACGAAGCCTTGTAACTTTATGACTGAAGTTGGACGTGATGTGCCAGTTCTAGGAACCGAGGGAAACAGATCCTTGCATGAAGCTTGATGTCAAGGTGGCCAGGACCTGAGCTACATTTAATATCCGTCAGAGGCTTTGGTTCCCTCCACGTCTTTGCTTTTCCACCCTTCTCACAGTTGGTTTCCCCTAAGCCCTCCCGATCTGCTCCTGTGTCTTGCAGTGCACACACCTTTGTTATATCAGAAGTCTATTGACATGGGGTAAAATACGGGAGGAAAGTGATCTACAACCTTATACTTAATGTCATGGGGGGCGGGGCTGAGACTCTGTCTGGGGAAAAAAAATACTTTTCAAATTACTTTCTTCTCTATGTTAGGCAAGAAGACCAGGAGCCCTTCCCTCGGGTTAGACAAGGTCTGGCAGAGTCTCGTCCCCTGGAGAGTAGCATTTGCTATTGAGAATTCTTTGGGAATGCTGTAAAATGATTTCTTCTCTTCACTCCTCAGGAAAATCCTGAGGTTTTTCAGTAATTCTCAGATAATTACTGTGTTAGATTTACTGTCATGACAAAGATCCCATGGAGATTAGCTCATGGTTTCAAAGGTTTCAACCCATAGCTGTCTAGCCCTATTGTTTTGGGTATTTTGGATAAGACCATCTAGGCAAGGAATGGCAGAACAGAACTGTTGGCTTCCTGGTGACTGGGAAATAAAGAGAGGAAAGGGGAAAAATAACCTCCAAGGTTATGACCTCAATGACCCACTTACTCCAAAACGGTTTACCACCTCCCAAGATGCCATTATGTTATGAATCCCTAGATGGAGTGGTGCAGTCATGAGGTCAGAGCCCTCCTGACACAATCACCTCCCATAGGCCCTACCCTAACCTCTGAAAACTGCTGCACTGGAGACCAGTCCCTCAGCAGAACACTCTGGGGACATTTAAAATCTAAACTATAATTGGACATGGTGGTACACTCCTACCACCCCACCTCTAGAGAGGTATAGGCAGAGGATTGCAAGTTTAAAGACAGCTTGAGCTATTTCACGAGACCTTGTCTTAAAATATAAACAGACAGGGCTGGAGAGATGGCTCAGAGGTAAAGAGCACTTGTTCATCTTGCAAAGGACCTGGGTTCAATTCCTGGAATCCGCATGGTGGCTCACAACCACCTGTGATTCCAATCCTACCTCTTCTCACCTCCTCAGACATCAAGGGCTTATATGGTGTGCATGAAGGCACCACACCACACATAAAACAATGAAACAAATCTAAAAAGCAAAACCAAACAAGCAGCAATCTACAACCACAGTCACTACACTGCCTCACAACTGAAGGAGGAGTTCCTGGAGGTAATGCTCAAGAGAGCGTGGGCAGTCCCCTGAGGGCTTCCATTGACTCTCTACACAGCCTGCGTTTCACCTGTGCTCGGCAATTCACCGCAACCTCCATCTGTGTTTTCCCGGCTTAAGGTTTCCCTAAGATTTCAAGTAAGCTGTCCTTCCATGGTGGAGCCACCTCCCCAGGTTGTACATGGCATTGGTCCTGCTGTCTTGAGTGTCTGACATAGCTAAGAAAAATCACAGATTTTCAGATTGTCCATCTTCTCGCTGTGAGGAGAGGAGCAGTAGATTCCAAGCCCAACACATCAGAGATGAAACTGGAAGTCTACTACTTATTGTGGAACAATTCTACACTACGTCCTTTTCTCGGTGCATCATATTTGCCAACTATGATTTCCGAACAGGAAGAAGCAGTAAATAAATGTTGTAAAGCACCTTTATGCAAAAAAAGTATATTACTCATGTTTAGGATACACAGCTTATCATTACATTTTTATAAGGGGTTTAAAAATAATTACAAGGCTGCACACCTTTAATCCCAGAACTTGGGAGGCAGAGGTAAGCGAATCTCAGTGAGTTTGAGGCCAGCCTGGCCTGCAAGAGCTAGTTCCAGGAGAGCCAGGGCTGTTACACAGAAAAACCCTGTCTCAAAAAATAAAACAAAATAATAATAATAACCAAAAAAAATCACTGAAGATAACACCCACCAACTGACAGTTCTCGTGGATTTAACTCAACCTGGGTACGACTGCTGGGTGACTTACACAATATTAAAGTAGCACAGAATCTGGTCTCTCAATGCTAACATGCCAATATATTTACTTGAAGTTAATTTTTGATCATAACAAAACAAAGCATTATGTTATAATATTCATTTTCAAGTTTAAATTATAAAACAGAAATTCTTAAACATTTTACTTAGCATCTAAATTTTACATAAAAGGCATATAAATAATTTTAATTTGAAAAATGCAATATTTACTTCAAAAGATGAATAAAATCATGTATTAGTCATTGGAAGTAAGAGATCATCTATAAACTGTAAAGTTATGAACAAGATAAATTGATATTACTTCTCTTAACTGCAACACTTCCCAAAAGCTAGGTGAATATACAAGGTATTCAGAAGAGTTCACATACATAATCATAATGACAATTATTTTAAATCAGACAACAACTGTATGTGATATGATGGAGGGTGGCCAGAGTACACAGTTAAAAAAGAAACATAATCAAACTATCCTTGATAGCATGTAGATCACTCACAGAGAATGAAAGGATCAGAAATGTATAATCATAAAGAATACAAAGGTAAAATGTTGCTGTATCTTTAAAACAGAAAGAGAGACCTTTGAGGACCAGGAATGAAACAAGCAGTAAAGCTCCTCTCTCCCCATAGTGAAGACTCTTGAGTTTGACATCTGTTGGGAATTTAATTATGTATTTTCCCTCATTTATAAGATCTTTAGGAAAGTAAACACGCTAGAATTCTACGGGTAAAACACAGGTAGCTTGCAATGTACAATAATAGCATTCCTTTCCCTGCTAAAGCATCTAGCACGTTAGCACACAGAAGCCCCGCCCTCCCTTCTCCAGACAGTGCGGAGCAGCAGCCCTCCTGACCCCGCCTCCTTCCATGCTCCAGACAGCGGGGAGCAGCAGCCCTCCTGACCCCGCCTCCTTCCATGCTCCAGACAGTGCGGAGCAGCAGCCCTCCTGACCCCGCCTCCTTCTGTCCTGCTCTACTGTCACTCCTGCTCGCCTCCACCCACACATCCCAGACCCAGCCGGGCATCAACACATCATCGATGATCTAGTGATTACACCCCCCCTTTACCTACAGATGTGGTAATACTAGAGACTGAATCCTTTCTGGGGAGCACTCTAATGGGGCTACTGTATGGATCTCAAGAGCTCTTCCCACTATGAGGAGGGAGTGGACTTTCCTTCCCAGTATGCATCACCCAGGGTCTTCACCTTAAACCTTTCAGCCTTGAGAAATTACAACACACACATGGGCTGAGGATGTGGTCAGTGTTGGGGTACTTCCCTAGCACCACACGATTCTAGGTCCAATTCCCAACCCTATATCCCCTCCAGCTGAAAGCAGAAAATTATGAGAAATAAATTTACTTGTAAGTTACTTAGTCAATGGTGTTCTACCACAGCAGTTCAAACTATGGCATCCGTTACATCACCAAGTCTCCTCTAACCCCTACTGTGGATCAGCAGGGCACTCTGTCATGTCACCACTCTGACCAGGAGGGAGAATGCATCTCTAAAGACCACGTTTCATTCTTTTCCTCCAGCATTTCTTCTAGTCCACTTTGGACGCACATTATCAATAACTATACGGCTGGTCACTAGTTAGGAAGTAAAGAGGGAGATTCATACTCAAATTGTTGGTGTGTCCAAATCCTTATAAAAATTATCTGCAAAAGACAAACTAGCTCTAAAATTATAAAAAAAACGTGGCCTCTGGGGTGTAAGACCACGAGCAGAGGTGATCACTTGTGAACCGTGAATGCTGACAGCCTTTCTAGAAACATGGACTCACGTTCACTGCCAGTCAAGAAGGTGTTAAGAAGGACATACCCTCTGGTGCTGCTAGAATCTTCTTATCTTTGGGAGCCAAGGCAAACCCAGCATGAGAGATCATCCACACCGGGAAGCGGCCTTTCGTCAGAGAGTACAAGCTCTTCGCAAATGGCAGGTAAAAGGGGGAAAAGCCTGGGTTACCTAAGAAAAGATAAGATTGTTGATTAGAAAGATGGCAGACCCATGCGAGGTGATGTCAGGCCTGAAAGAGGTCGCTCTGGGCTTTCTCACAAATCCAGTGACAATTCACACTTACACTTAGGTATCATAAGAAAGATCTTCACAATCCAAAGCATAAAAGTAACATGGCTTCCCACTGCTACCAGAATAAAGCCCCAAAGCACTAATACTGTCTCTATGGAATTTCAAGTTCTGACCACCTCAGCTATTCTGAACAAAAACTAAAATTAAAACAAACAACAGTAACAACAACAAGAAAAAAAACAGGCCAGTCAAATCAATGTTAGAATCTTGCACAACTTTAAATGTTATCTTTCCATTTCAAATATTTGGAGTGTGTGTGTGTGTGTGTGTGTGTGTGTGTGTGTGTGTGTGTGTAATGGACCACTGATGGACATATACACTACATATGATTTTTCTTGTGTGTATACAGAAGGTATTTTTGACATGGATTTGGCATAGAGGGACAGAATAATCAATATGATATATCTGCAGGGTGAAGGACAATGAACTAGGGGGTTTGAGCCTGCAATCATCATTTGTATAAATTCTTCATTGTTTGTAGCCCTTTCCACAGATGTCCACTTTTACCTTTCACCTATTTCTCCACTTAATCTATTTCTTCACACTGTAAGGTGCTCTCTACTTTAGCTGAACACGGTCTTTGGCAATAGTGTATAAACCACAATTGCCATCCACACCAAGGGTCCACATCTTACAGATCCCTAGATAGCTCAGCAAAGTGGTTGAGAATTAGGCTGCCTGGGCTGTAACTCTGGCTTTCCCTGTGAACTGTGAGCTTCACCAAGTTATTATTCTCTCTGTGGTTTGACTTCTCATTGATGAAATGGGATAAAGTACAATGTACATGATGCTAAGTGAATTTATAGACATATGACATAGTTCAATACTGCTTGAAACACATTAATAGGTATATAGATGCTAACTATTCCACATGCACAGCCTTGTCTGCCTACCATGGTACTCTGTAATGGTTTCACCATCCATATTGATACCTTGCTTCTTAAGTTCTAAGCCATCTTATGGTCATGATGACAATTTGCCAAGTAACATGAAAACTTTCTCAAGCCAGTGATGTGTTCTTTGGTCACCTTCCTGGCTACTGTGCAGTTGAAGAAGAAGGAATGGAGAGGGGGGATATCAACAGAAGTTGGATACCCACTGTGTATGTGGATGGCGCATCTTCATCTTTATAAATGTAAATATGCAGAATAGGAACGCTGCTTAGCATTAAATACAAAACAGCAAACTCGACTTCTTTTCTTCTATAGCCAGTTCCATGAAACCACTAATTACATAACGTAGCCCCCTGCATTGATCTAAAGTGCCTTCAGATCCAACACTAAATTTCTATTTATTTTAACCTGTTCTCCTTTGCTAAAACAGCCTACCGTACACCATTCTGCATGTGCGTGCGTGCGCGCACACACACACACACACACAGGTGTGCATGTTCATGGTTTAATAAATGGTGAACAAATCCTTCCTCTTTAAGCTTTCTCAAAGTAGTTGAGTTCATTTTGAAAAATCTTCTTGGGCTTCTGAGTGAAGTTATACTTAATTTACATAATACTCTAAAAAGACCTGAGATGTCACTGAGTATAGCTGTGGTGCTTTGAACAAAAATGGCCTTCAAAGAGAGGGGCACTATTAGGTGTGGCTTTGTTGGAGTAGCTGTGGCCCTGTAGGAGAAAGTGTGTCACTGTGGGTGTGGACCTTGAGGTCTCTTTTGCTCAAGCTATGTTCGGTGTAACTGACAGTTCACTTCCTGTTGCCTGTGGATCTCGATGCAGAACTTTCATCTCCTTCTCCAGCACCATGTCTGCCTGCATGCTGCCATGTCTCACCATGATAATGGACTGAACCTGAAATGTGAGCTGGCCTCAGTTACATGTTTCCCTTTATAAGAGTTGCAGTGTTCGTGGAGTCTCTTCACAGCAGTAGAAACCCTAACTGGACCAATAGCCTTCTGGGAGTGTTTTCTGTCCCGCAGCGATACTTTACAACAACTAATCAACATATGCCTGGAAGCATCACTGGGTAACCCTCAGGACACCTTGGGTTCTTAAGTCAGCGTTTTACACACCCTAAACTCAGTCTTCGATGGAGCAATAAGAACAAACAGGTTGTGCAACTTTTGGCACAAGTTAGAGAGTCATTTGGGAAGACGGAATCACAATTGAGAAAAGGCTCCCACCAGACTGGCCTGCAGTGCATTTTCTTTGCTGATGGTGACTGATGTGGGAGGGACCAGCTCACTGAAGGTGACGCTACCTCTGGGTTCGTGGTTCTGATGCTATAAGAAAGTGGTCTGCTCAAGCCAAGTAAGCAGCACTCCTCCATGGCCTCTGCTTCAGTTCCTGCCTTGAGTTCCTACCCAACTTCCCTGGATGATGAAAGAGAAAGCTGTAAGATAAGATAAACCCTTTCCTCCTCAGCTTGTTTCTGGCCATGGTGTTTTATCACAGCAATAGAAACTAAGATCTTCTGTGTGCCTGACTAGAGTTAGTCTTACAAAACACCGAGAATGCAGGAGGAATTATCGTTAGAGGTAAGCGAATGAAGAGCCATTTATACAAAATTTGGCACTAAGTAGACACTTAGTAAATGGTAGCTGTTATAACTATTATTACAATTAATGCTAAAAACATTAGGTACAGCAAACCCAATGACAGGGTATATGAAAACATTTGAGAACAAGATAACTATAGAACAGCCTTTTCTGCCTATCTCAGGATGTAAGTTTGGGTTCTGCCTCTTATTTACAATATGATCTCAATTAATTCTCCTTGCTTTAATACAGTATTTTATTACCACCAAGTAGAATTCCAACTACAGCATGCTCAGTCTCTCTGTCAGTATTACAGCTTCCACTATATATTACTGTAACCATTACATTTATACTGGGCAGTCACTGTTTGGAAGTCACTGTGCCATACAAAGGCATGCAAGGCGCTCCATGGAGTTTATACATGAAGAGAGAATAAAGACATAATCAAATGGGTGACCTGATTCACACATGTGATAATTTGTACAATTAAAACAAATAGATCAGTATGACTTTAAAAAACAAACAACAAACCCAAGGTCTGAGGAAGTGACTTTTTTAGCTGAGGTCCAAAGGGTAAAATGAAAGTCGTGAAGAAATAATGAGCTTAGTTACTAAAGCAACAGAAGTGGTCCTCCACCCTTGGCTCTTCTCGTTACATCCAATAGCATCACGACTAAGGAATATGGCTAAGAAGCATTTACACAGAAGGGAGACTGAGGAGAAATAAACCAGTCAGGATCTGAGGACCATGACAGGAAATTTGCCCTTTAGTCTATCAACACAGGATTAAGAGGGTTTAGGCATGATTATATTTCAATCATTTCTTTTCTTTTTTTTTTTTTTTTTTTGTCCCACAGCAATGAATAAAATTTATTTAATAGATAAAACCTTTTTACATTTTTTTACTTCTGTGTCATGTTTACTTTTTTACTCAAGTTTAGTATTAAAAAAAAGTATTTCTTAAGGAAAGTGTCCAATTCATATAAATCCTTTTTAAAAAAAAAAAAAAAAGGATCAATCATTTCTTTTCAACAGTAAAAGAATAATTAGAAAACATTAGATGTTTGGTAATTTAGACAAAATAAGCCACTTCCTATAAAGATGGAAAACATCTCAACTTATTCAAAAAGAATTAGATCATTTCAATAGACCTACTATGAACTAAAGATTGTGGTAATTTACACAGAATTGGCCACTTTTTATAAAGATGGGAAGTATCACAGCTTATTCAAGAAGAATTAGATAATCTCTATAGGCCCATTATGAACTAAAGAAAGTCAAACTTAAAGACTGAAGAGCTCACAAACAAATCCAGACCTGCAAGGCTTCACTGATGAATTCTGCCAAGCATTTAAGGGAAGAAATACTATCAGTTTATATGTATTCTTTAAGAAAACATGCAAGGAAGAAATAGTTATCAGCTTATTCTGTGAGGTCTATATCACCATCACACCAAAGCCAGATGCAACGTCTAAAAAAACAAAACTACAGGTCAGTATCACTGTGAACAGAGATGAAAAATTATACAGTAAGGGCCCGCAAACTGAACTCATCAAAAGGTTAAAAGATGAACATTGTGACTGAGTAGAGTTGATCAAAGGATGGCACCATTGATTTAACATTTAAAAATCAATTGTATCTGTCATACTTATAAACTGAAAGATTCACACGCTCATCTTAATAGATACAGGAAAAATGGGACTTGGGATATATTTAGTAATAGAGCTATATTTTTAAACACAACATACATGAAATACTGAATCCAATTCCTAGATTCTGTATACAGTCTTTGCACCTAGTGAAGCTAGTCTCTTTCCATTGCTGTCTATTTTTCAATGTATTCATTCTCTTTCTCCCTTTGGAGACAGGGTCTCTCACACTCTAGCACATCCTGGCTACTTACTGTGTAGACTGGGCTGTCCTCAATCAAAGTCCCCCCGAATAAAATAAATAAATGGAGGCTGCTGAAAGTGGCATGCTGGAGAAAACACAAAACTCTGGATGACTTCACCCAAAAGTGTGCGCCCTAATTTTCCTGACAGTTTCCGTAGATGAGGCCCCAAATAAAGGTACGGGAATCCTACCAACTCACACGCAGAATCAGCCTAGGACTCTGAGGGATCTGAGGAAAACAGTGAAGGCCACAGAGGAACAGAGCAAACATAAAGGACACATCTGAAAATCCCAAAGTGCCACAAGAAAAGAGATCACGGGACAAGGAATGTGTCGCACTTCCCGGTATCCGCAGTGCCTCCGCTAACTGCTCCCTCTACCTCCTCACCACACAGCAAACATGGCTTCCCTCACTCACTGCTGTCTAACACTTCACACACCTCAAGGGCAGCAAGCACTTTTCCGCAGCACACTCAGAAGAAATGAATCCCACTAGGTGGGGGAGTTCGGGGGTTTCCCCCTTCATCAACGATTTCACGTTACTTTAAGACTTACTCTGCCCACTCCGACCCATCAGCTTTTCGGTCACTCACACATCCCTGGGCCCTTAAGTGACAATTCTCTTGTTGCACACATGAAGAGATTTCAAAACCCAGATGAATTGGGTCACCACCTCTGCCCCACAATTTAGCACAGTTATCAAACCCAAAGGACTTATCTGCATCAAGTTTCAGCAACAAGTTCCCATAATGTGACCTGGTGTGCACAATGAGGCCCTGGAGGAAGGGCCTCTGAAGAATGACTGTGCCACCCCCAGACTTTCTGGATCAGAAGTCAGTGATGGGACAAAGGAGCACTGTGTATCAGGCCCTATCTCGCACTCCGACACAGACTGTAAGAACTACAAGCTTAGGCCCTTTCACCAGCCAGAAACAGCTAACAGGCAGAGGACCCCAACCCTGAGGACCCTTCTCCAGATGAATCTTGGGCGCTTTTACCCCTTACTTACAATATGCCTGCTATTCTAGCACGAAGCTGCTCAAGAACCCAACACCTCTTTTTTAGAAGATAATGCCTTTCATTCGGCAGACTGCTATTCCACCTATCGTCCTCAAGGGGTCGCCGCACCCTCCACGAGCACCGCTCTCAGAAACCGACTTTGACCCTAGCAGAACACAGGCATGGGGGTGGGGCAGGAGCTATTACACTTTCCCCTTAAATCCTTTCACACTTGATCATTTTAGTGGTCAAACTTCCTCCCTCCCTCTCTCCCTCCCTCCCTTCCCTCCAGCTGCAGGACAACACCTCCAGTCCAGGATGACTAGTCCACTTAATTTCTTTACCTCATTCCTGCCAAACCTCAGCGACATAGAGTAGTACCTGCTATGCCTGCAACTTCAAACTCTCATTCCCTACCGGCAGAGTATGTCTATTTTTTATTTTAATACATGCTACCAAACAGATTTTCAAGGATAATGTTAAATCCTGGACGATTGCAAGCTTGTTTCCAGAAAAGGTTAGGCCAAAGAGAGATAGCGGCTCAGAAATCTTAGCACAGCTGGGCATGGAAGTCCCATGCTGAGGCGAGGTTAGGCAGTACAGCTGAGCAGGGACATCTCAACTCCTTTCCCTGTTCAGCTCTGGACATTAGCAGACAGGCTCTCACTTCACACAGAAACATGGGAGAAGATTCCTTCCCAGAAAACAGAATAACTGAAGGAAGAGCTACAGATTCTGAAAACCAGAGACTCAAAATGAAACGCTGAGTTATACTCAATACTCCACAATGAGGCTTTCCCAGGGAGCCCAAACATTCTTATTAGCCCGGGTGTGTTGTAATTTTTTTTTATTGAAAAAAAAAATTTCCGCCTCCTCCCAGTCTCCCATTTCCCTCCCCCTCCTCCCACTCCTCTCCTCCTCCCCCCACTCCTCTCCCCCTCCCTCTCCAGTCCAAAGAGCAGTCAGGGTTCCCTGCCCTGTGGAAAGTCCAAGGTCCTCCCCCCTCCATCCAGGTCTAGGAAGGTGAGCATTCAAACTGCTTAGGCTTCATTTAAGCATAGGTTGTCATGGATCTTGGGGTCCCTAGTCTAGGGCATGTGCAGAAACCCCGCCTTTGTATGTAATGACCATCTAAGGAGAGAGCAACAGATGATCAGCTCTGCGCATGTGCAGAAACCCCGCCTCTGTATGTAATGGCCATCTAAGGAGAAAGAGGAACAGATGATCAGCTCTGCGCATGTGCAGAAACCCCGCCTCTGTATGTAATGGCCATCTAAGGAGAAAGAGCAACAGATGTCCTCCAGCCTGAGGGATTCTCCAGACAGTGAAAACGCATGGCATGCAGAGCTGTTTTCATAATCTTAAAGGAAAAGATGATTTTGGCCAGTTTGAACATTTCCATCCAACCCAATAGATGCAGAAATAAAGACAAAGACACACCGCCAGGGAGCCTTGCCACATGTGACACGCAGAACACAATTTCAAAGTTTATTGTTGGCAACCAACTAGCTATCTCTGACAGCGACAGAGAAAAGTCACAAACGGCCAAGAAGAAAATCACAGAATATAAACTCCACATTAAATAGATAATCATTTTAAGGAGGGAGAAAGTTGTTAAAAACTTAAACTTTGATAAAGATACAAAAATAAAAACGTTTATAAGGGAAATTACAACGTTGTGTATGTGGTACCTTCTCTATACGACAAGGCATCTCTGTATAACAGAGAATATGGAAAATACCAATGTAAGAAAAAAAGCGCATGCCCAGAGCAGTAACCATGGTTGTTATCAGGAGTAATTTAATTTCCCTCTGGTTCTCCAGAGTTTACCAACAACAACTCTGCAATCAGAGGTTCTGAGTATCTGTAACAGTGAGACTTACCTGGAATAACGAAGATGAGCAGTTTCGGCCTGGTGACACTCTGTTCATCAAAGAGGTTAGTCCAGGGCCCACATTTTATAATCTGGGTTTCAACTCCACCACAGAAAAAGAATTCCTCACGCACAGGGATTTCTTCTTGAACGTCTGAGTCCATCGCTAAATAAAAGGATGGGGGGCAGGTATGAGAAATAAAATAAAGACCGAGCAAAAGGCTGTAGTCTCAGCCCTCAGGAAGTGGACGTGTGAGATCAAGGTCAGCCTCTTTAGCTACATAGAGTTAGACACTAGTGTGCAGACCCTGTCCCAACCTTTCCCTCCTCTCTCCCCATCCCACAAAAGGCAGGAAAATATAAAACCTTGAACCAAAGACAATAATGAAGAATTAAAAAGGGTCATTTCAAAAACACTCAGAAGAGAATGCCACAGGGCATGTCCCAGGTGCAAGACTATTCAGCTGTCTGCATCCAAAGACTGAAAGGCAAATTCAAACAACCATAAGGGGTTTCCTGAGAAACAGGCAGTCACAGGTCAAGAATGAAAAAGAGGTCAGAAGGGAGCCTGAGTCAAAGACAGATTAGCTTTTTCCCCTGTGGCTGTCTCCAGTTGGAAGCCACAGTGCCCTTGGATGACTTCCCTCCCCTAGGCTGGCATTCTCTGGTAGCTCAGTGCCTCACCTGAGATGGGCCCTCAACCTTTACCTGGCAATGGCTGGGGGAAAGCTCAGCTCTCCCAGGATGGAAAACACTGAGTTCTTTATGCTCATTCTAGTCACTCTCTTCTGCCCCAATTCTGTAGCACAGTCTTGTGTCATGGAAGCACCACATCATTGGATTGTGAAAGAGGCACAGGGAATACCAGGACATGAGGCGGCAAGCATGCAAGATTCTCTTGAATCACGGTATACATACAAACTGGAGACTCTGAAATCTTTAAGTAATTCCCCCGTCTCCGTTTTTGCCCTCCCTGTCTGTGGGCACCAGGTCTCAACACTTCAAGACTCTGTCCCAGCCTTCAGGACAGCCTGCGCCTCCCCCTCGTGCTACCCGGTCCTTTCCTTAGCACACTCTGCTTTCCTGCAGTCACTCTGCTCACGCCTTCTCCCCAGTCTCTTCTGGACCGCATTCCCGCTGCTGTCAATGACCCATTTGATGCCTCCCACCAGGAATTCCAGCCCCTCTCCCATAGCTGCGCTTACAGCTCTGACCCTGAGTTCTGAAATGCTTCTCTTCTGTCAGGGGAGGCCATGCTGAGTTCCTGGTGGAAGTGGTTGGAGAGTGGAAGCTGGAAGCCTCCCCTCCAGGCTCTCCCTGGCAGACATGTCTTCCCCTCTGTGCTGCTCAAGCTGTGAAATCCCCCAGCCTCCTTTCCAACTGGAGGGAATTTTGTCACCGAAAGATACAGACTAATAACTGGAACTGTTTTTCACTGGTAGAACTGAGAACTCCTGGCACAGAGTGACTAAGGGCCAAGAATACTCTTAAAAATCAAGTCCCCACAATAAAGCATGCAGTCCAAAGGTCTCGGATACCCAGAATGGAGAAAAGTGCTCTAGTGCTGGGTGAGTGCCTGTCTCCAGAGGGTTATTTACACCAGCAGTGGGATCGCCACCGTGCCTTCTCTAGGTCTCCTCACAGGGCACCAGCAGCACTGGGGCGATACCCAAGTGGCTGTCCATGGTCCCTCCTCTAGACAGCCAGCTGCTTTGTTCTCCCTGTTGGCCCGGAACTGTGGATCTCAAGCTGTGCACAGGCATTCCGGACACACCTGAAGTGGGTGCTGGGATTTGAACCTAGATCCTCAGGCTTGCAGAGGAAGCATGCTCATTTCCCTGCCCACAGTCTTTTTCTCAGTGGACACTGGTTAGGTAGCCAGCTAAGTTTTAGACTTAGTGCAAGTAAAGAGTCCAAGAATAAGAATATAGAAAAGTAGGTTCCAGAAATAGGAATGCAGAAGTAAAGAAATATAAAGTTGAAAGCCTAGGAGAATGAAAGCAGACTGTCGGCAGCTTTTGGATTAACTATTAACAGTGGGTAACTTTGCCTTACAACCCATCGCTCTGTCTGCAAGACTGAAGCAGCCCTCTGCAACTGATATGAGCTGAGCTAACCTTTTAAGGATGGGATGTACTGACTTTTTGGTTGTGCATTGTCCCGTACCCTTCCCTGCTACACAAAACTGGCAGTATCAGGGGAGTGTAGAGCTTTGGTAAACACCAACAGGAAATGCCAAAAGGAAACAATGGGCTAAATACAAACACTAGTTTAACTGAGAAACACTGTTAATGAGAAGGGGAAAAAAGGCAATTTGTATCTGAGTTTTATCTCAAGATTGTAAAAATTCTCGCTTGCTTCTTGCTATAAAAAAGGGAGTTTGGAAAGAGCCATGGCCACAGCTATAGAAGGCCATCACTGACTGTGGTCACAGTCATAGAGAGCTGATAAGCTTTTTGTGCCCTAGGGAGAATTTTTTTCTTTTTCTAAAATAAAGATTTCTATTGGTTTAATAGACTTTGGTGGTCTGTACCCCATCTTTGTGTGATGCGAGGACCCAACACAAGTACTCAATGCCTTTCCCCAGACAGGTCATCATAATTAAGGCAAAGGCAATGCTGGTTAGGATGCAGTGTAACTGGAAATTCCACACATCTGGAAAACTATCTGACAGCATGGGTCAACACCTACAAAAGGGACCACTTTGCCTCATTTTGAGGAATTAATTCCATACAAAAAATAAAATCACAAAAATATTTCCGAAAGAAATGTAAGCAAGGAGTGCTGCTTAATAACAGTCCAAGGGCTGAAGAAGCTAAGTGGCCACTAATGGGGTTAGGCACAGTATGACAAAGCAGTGTAAGAGAGTTAATTACTTAATGACTCAGCATTCGGGAGGGATAAACTATAGTTCTGAGCATATGTGCCCCATCGAGACAGCTCTGCTAATTTCCTTTAACTTTCCTTTTCCCCCTAAAATTTCTATGATTTCATTTCTCCAGTCTTAGGATCTGGTGTCCCCTCATGCCCCTTGTCTATGTCCACATTCCTTTGACTGTCATTTTTATGAATTTAGGTGGGAAGAAGTAACAAACACAGGGTTTTTTTGGTTTTTTGAGACAGGGCTTCTCTGTAGCTTTGGAGTCTGTCCTGGAACTAGCTGTGTAGACCTCGAACTCACAGAGATCCGCCTGCCTCTGCCTCCCGAGTGCTGGTATTAAAGACATGTGCCACCACCACCCGGCCTTAACTGACTTTTCTTAAGCAAGAATGATTAGAAAAAATTAAAAACTTTAGATGTGTGAACCACTCCTGATACAAAGTACGTTGACTAAATAAGTTTCACTCACCCTTATATTCAGGACTATTTTAATCACTGTAAGGATCTGTCCTGTCTCTTTAAGAGTCAAGCCACACCTACTCCCTCCCCTGTCTGCTGAGGCAGGCAGATTTTCCTTCCTGCTTGCAGCCTGAGTCTCTTCTTTTTCCTTCTCCCTCTCAAAAAGGCAACTTCTGCCTCTCCGGTCTCTCCCTTCTGTCTCTGCCCACTGTTCTCTCTCTCTCTCTCTCTCTCTCTCCCCCCCCTCTGTTCTTCCCTCTTCTCCTCTTCCCTTCAATAACCCACTAAATAAATATCCAACCTCACTCTGCACGGCTTGCCTATCCATCTGTCTCTTGCCTGCCAGGACCACACAGGGACCAGCCACCTTTGGAGACCTGCTGCATGGTCTCGTGAGCCGTCCCTGCCTGAAACTGGCTGCTGTCAGGACATGCTGCCCCCTGCCTGCTCCCACTCAGGGATCTGCAGCATTTTTAATTAATTCATTACAGCATCCTCTCCAGAAATATCATAACACAGTAGGTGTACTTGTGAAGGTTTTCTGACATTTACAATGCATCAGAAACAAAATCGATGGAGGCTAATACAAAATGTTAAATTAGGGCACAGACTGCCAAGCCACTGGCCACACTTAACACTTTAACCAGAGGGAAATCCAGCCATTAAACACACCTGACTCTTGACTAATTAATTCCAAGTAATGATACTCTGGGTTTGATTAACGTCAAGATTTCTGAGAGTTCAAGCAGACGTGAAACTCAAACATAGTCTATGAAAACTGGGAAACAAAATCCACAACTGTGATTCTAAAAGACTTCAAACACAATAAATGGACTGAGAAGTGTGGAGTTGATACTGGTGTTCCCAGGGCAGCCTTCCCTTCCCTCGTACATCTGAGTCTCACCAAGCAATAGAGAAGGAAGGAAAAAAAATCTTACCTAAGAGTCTGAGGTAATTCACTTCTGCAAGGACAGATTAACAAAACACTATGTTCTGACAATTATAGGTTGCTGAAGGGCGACAGTTCCACCCTTGGCCTCGGCTTCAGCCTATGAGCAGGCCTGAATTAAATCCATTTGATAAGCACCAAGCATCAAGATGGACGGCATCCAAGTGTGACTATGACTTATGCAATTTATGAAAACCTGTTTTTCTAAATACAGGTGCTTACCTGTATTAATAATTTTTTAATTTTATGTTGCGATATATTTTTCCAATTTAATCTTATACACACCTAGGCAATATGTGAAACAGAGAATCATCATTTGACCAGTATAAATCTTAGAAGTTCAAACCTACAATATTTTCATAAATTTATTGTAATACTTAGAATGCAACTATAAAACTATATTGTATGAAACCAATGGGAAAAATAAAACTAAAATTATGAACAAAAATATTCAAAATAGAGTTGTACATGTGTCTTATTAGGCTGAAGCATCTAAATGTCTGCGTTTATTTTATCTACCAGAATTCCTACTGTCCTGTACAAACTGGCGATGATAACTTTTAAAAAGCTTCAGCTAGAATGACCCAAGAGTTGTCAATCACATTATGAATCAAAGAGACATAGCAGAGGAGTTTTTCAGATTTTCCCCTTTTCTTCCAGTATTTGTGTGTCCTCACCTGTTTGCATATGTATGGAGGGCAGAGGTCAACTCAGGGTATCTTTGTCTATGCTCGCAGGGACCTTAATTTCTTCAGACAGGGTCTCTCTGCACTGACTGGCTGGCCAGCAAGCTTTCAGGACCCATATGTCCTCTCCCACTCTCCCCATGCCGGGGTCACAATAGAGCTCTTAAGTGAGCACTCGGGGTCCAAACTCAGGTCCTTCAGCTTGCACAGCGCACACGTTACCCAGGGAGCAGCCGCCCAGTCTGCAAGAGTTCCATTACTCTGTCTACTAAGAACCTGTGTCACTTACCACACACATCGGAGTCTAAGAAGCTCCTAAAGCTTCCTCAGAAGCCGGTCTTCCTGTGATCATCAAACGCATGCACCACTTACCGTCTCACCATGAGACACAGCAGAACACACATCACGCATGTCTGATTCTTGCATGGAAATTAATTCGTGTGGTTCCTGGGTACCAGCGTCTAAGCTATTTGTGAAATATTTGGTGACTGGAATGCACAGATTGGCTCTTGAAAGGTTTGCGGCAGACACGCCAAGTTTGTAATTCATATGGAATGACGATGAGAGAAGAAAATATGAAAAATAGCAGAAGCTCTAGTTTAAATACTGACATGCTGGTTATCTGGATGTGTTAAATCACAGAGGTGAGACTGCAGTTGGTTTTTCTTAGAGGTTTGTTTTTTGAGTGGTGCTGGGGATTGAACCCAGGGCCTTGCACATGCTAGACAAGTGTTCTACTACTTAATATTCCCAGTCATTCGAGGTTTGTTTTTAAGTTTAAGATGTAGTGAATCTGATTTTGCAATAGCAGATCAGCTTGCTTCCAAAAAATCTTCCACTGATGACAACTAGAGAAGCAAGGGGAAAAGCTTTTTCTGCCTGTTAAAAAAATACCAGTAACCACTAAAAGAATGGTCCAAGAATGTGTAACAAATTTGCTTAACAGGGAAAACAAAATGTGATATATGAGTGAGAAAAGGGCAGAAAATAAATTTTTAAAATATAACATCAAAAATACATAATACAGAGCCTTTCGGCAGCACTCTGCTCTCTCTGTCCCCAGACCCAACCTCTCAGGCTCATCACCAGTGCTGCAGCAGACACCAGCTGCTGCCTCCCTTTCCCCTGCCCACATCTCCTATGGATCCCGCAGACCAATCTCTCCTGGCTTCCTTTCCCTGACTCATTGCTATAACCCAGCTCCCAACTCAAGCAGATGATTCCTGCCCAACTGCAGGCCACACCTTTCAGAAAACCAGGTGGGCTGCCCACAGACTGTGATGGCTGTGTGCTGCACGTTTTCCTGGCCTGCTTGGCTGGTATAGTCATGGGGAATGCCTCCTGGTTTTGCAGGCTGGGATGAAGCAAGGAGTTGAGGGAAAGGGGTTGGAGGGGATGTCCCTGGGATCCGCAGGAGACATGGGCAGCTGCAGCAGGAAGGGACCCTCATCTAGGGAGAAGACTGAGAAATTGGGTCTCTGGAAACAGAGAAGTGGAGAAGGTCTATGGAAATAGAAATAAGGAAAAGATGGTCTTTCAAATAAACAACACGGGCCAACTAGAGATCAACATAGAAAATGAATCTTCCATAATACAGAGTAAGCTACATAAGCATAAAACAGAGAGAGCAATAAAACTTCCAAGAGACTCATGTTTCCACTACAACTTATCTGCTGACCTTTGTACAGTCAAAGGTTACTTAAACCAGTCACAGCATACCTTAGCCATGAAGGAAAGGGTTTTAAAATGCATCCTTTAGATTAAGAACATGCATTCATCACTAGACACTGGTAGTGAAAGTACAGACAGAAAACACAGTAGGAGAGGACATACACGCGTATGTACAGTCTTCTGGTTATAAGACCGTTGTTAGGATGTCCTCCCGCAACAGGTGTAAATCTTGAATGCTACTCATGTGTCATTACACATTTGTTTATGTGCTTGTATGTGTACAGATTTACAGTGTTCTCCCACTCTGTAATTTTCTTCCCATTTTCTTAATTTCTCTGTATACAATTTATCTAAAGATATGACTACCTTTTTGTGGGGCTAGGGGTTAAACCTAGGACCTTGCATATGTTAGGTAATTGCTCTATCACTGAGCTACATCTTCAGTCCATATTTTTTGTACTATGTGTGTATAGTATCTATACATACAAACCAGACTTCAACATGCAGGTCTCTAGACTATGCAAAGTACGTCTACAAATCAGTAAGAAAGAGACAACCCATTTAAAATACAGGTAAAATGTCAGAAGGGCACATTTCAAAAGCGAATGGCCCCAAACAGATGGCTAATAACCATAAGGGCTTTCTAGAAGAGTCAAAGAATACCAATATGGAAACCAACATCTGGGTATGTTGGTGCACGTCCAAAATCCAAGAATGTGGGAGGCTGAGACAAGAATGTTGTGAGTTTGAGACCAGTCAGGGCCACATGATATAAAGTTGTCTAAAAAAAAAAAAACAAACAAACAAACCCTAAAAAACAAAAACCCAGGTGTTGAGGCTAATACCTATTTTCCTAGCACTGAAAGGTAGAGGTAAGATCAGGTTCAAGGTCAGCCTAGATTAGAGAAGACACCATCTCAAAAAAAAAATACGAAATAAAAAAACTCTATAAAGTATAATGCTAATCACAGGGGAAAGATTTACAGAAACACACACACACATTGAAATCAGGCCTGGAATTCTCCAACTCCAGGCTATGAAGGTCTTGAATACCAGCTTAATGAGTTAGGGGAACCAGGAATTCCAGACTATATCTGATCCATATCAGGGACCTGAACTGATAGTTGCTACAATTTAAAAATTAAAAAGTTCCCAAGAATTACAGTATCCCACACTTGTTCATTCAACATGGCTCACCATCCTAACACTTAATCCTTTAAACAACATGTTATATCCTCACAGATTATGTGGATTAGAAATTTTCAAAGGCTAGAGAATAGTCAGTCTTGGTCAAATATCAACTAAGTTAGCTAAGAAAACTCAACACTGGCTTTGACGTGTTCACTGGGACAGGGTCATCAGGAAGTAACCTTATTGATAACCCTACAATGGGTGCTCCAAGACAACAATAGGTTGTTGGCTTAGGAAACCAGAACACATCATCCCTATCTAAGCTTTCCAGGTGACATATATTAATAGATTTCTGCAGTGCAGACAGGCTGATTTCCAAATACTAGTGGCTCCTGAGGATTAGCCTTATCTCACCTCTTAGGACCTCACCTCATTAGTCATGGAGCATGAGTTCCCAACACACTGATAAGCATTGGGAACCTTTAAGAGACAAACATACCATCTCAGAAAGTGAGCTGCCATTTTGCCAAGTCTTACCAGTCTCTCCGATCTACCAGCATCCCAACCTCTTCCTCAAAGTGGTTCGGGAAAATGTTAACAGCATCAGGAAGGTAATAGTTTCCAAAAGTAAGAAAGGACTAAAGTGTTCTTATAAGAAAGATTGGGGCAGGGGGAGAATCAGAAAAACGTAAGAACACACTAAAGTTTGGAAGCTACCAAAATAATGCTATAAGAAACAAGAGCAAGGAATTTAAAAATAACAATTAACTTACAAATGGGATCAACCGCGGAGTGGAACCAACAGAAAACGAGATCAGAGAACTTGGATAGATTCACAGAACTAATGAACCTGAATTAGTGGGAAATGATCTAAAAATGTAGCAGTAGCCCAGGGGCTCGTACTACAGTGACACCTAAAATTCATACAAGCAGAATTCCAGAGGAGACAATGTGGGGCTAAAAGAGACACTGAGAGAAAACAGTACTGGAAACTTCCCAAATTTGAGAAGGACATGAATCTACAGATTGATTCAAGAAGCTGAGCAAACTTAAAGTTGGAGAAATCTACAGAAATACAAGGCATGCCAAAGGTGCATTTTGAAAAAGCAAAGAAAAAAAATTTAATTGGTCAGAGAGCAACAACACATTATCTGCAATGGTGAAGGTAATTCTCGTGTGGATTTCTCAGGAGAAACCACCCGGGACAGAAACATCTTTCAATTTCATATGGAAAACAAGGAAGTATTCAACAGACACCAAACACTACTGCTTACGGTTCCAAGTTTGTTTTAACAAACCTTTGTGACTTAAGCCTAGAGATTTTTTTTGTAGTTGTTATTTTTGTTTGTTTTGTTTTTGTCTTTTGAGACAGGGTTTCTCTGTAACCTTGGAGCCGGCCCTAGAACTCGCTCTGTAGACCAGCGTGGCCTCAAACCCTCCTGCCTGTGCTGGGGTTAAAGGTGTATGTGCCGCCACCACCAGAGAAGACGAGAGATTTTTTTTTACTTTCCCAGGTCTGTTTGGTTGCAACACCCACCCCAGCAATAAGGACGTGCTTTTAAAACTAAAAGGACAAGGAAACATGGAAGGGTTCAAATGGCAGACTGTCCGTTCTCCCACTGTTTAGCATACAGGACAGAAAGCAGATGATCAGTAATAACTTGAGAAGGAGGAGATGAATTAGTGAGTCGTGAAAGAATTGTCTCAACCTGTATTCTGAGCAGTGAGAGGAGTGGGGGAAACAGCCAAAGGTGAGAGTATGCAAGTAAGGCAGGAAGAGATGCAAGGGCAGCCCCAGACGGACTCTGATTCATTTCTAGCGGACTGCCTAACAACGCACAGGCTCATCCCTCCCCAGGCAGCCGCTGGCGACCTTGCCACCGGTGGGGTGCGTGCAGTACCATCTCGTTCCCCACCGCCAAGTTCAGCCCACCCGGGCTGATGGCCACTTCATTATTCTGGCACCGCCCTGAGCGCAGCACGCCCGTCCTTCCTCAGGGAAAACCACCCACCGTGCGGTCTGCAGCACCTCTCTGGTCCTCCTGCAAGGTGTATCAAGTTGTCCACAGAGCTAGCAAAGCGTCACCAGAAGCGGAAGTCCCGGTCAGTCGTGAAGTCACAACACGGCGCCGAGCCATTCCCGGAAGTTGGCGCCCTTAGAACGCTTTCTGAGCGGGGGTACCAAGTTTTGAATACAGCTTCGTAGGGATGTGGTCCCTAGCCAGCGACATAGCTGGGAGCACTTAGAGAGTTTCCTTTATTTCTTCTAAATTTTAACCGCTTTCTGTTCTTTGTGGTTATTTAGTAGTTTTTTCCCCTCCTCCGGAGTCCTTTTTCTGTTCTCCACACCTGCCCCCTTTCCTATCTTGCATCTCCAGTCCCTTCTTCATGAACACAGGGAAGTTGACTCTCAGTTAACCTTAGCGTTAGTATTCCGCTTCATATATTCTGCACTTTAGGACAATGAGACTGTTCAGAGGTACTTTCAACTAAGCACAAACCCCAAGATCATATCCTCAGCATTTGGTACATGATACATGTTCAGTGTATTTATAGTCTTGAAAATCCTGTAGCCGATATGGCATTCTTATATCCAGACGAAGCAGCATGGAACTTTGAAAAATCACAGCAATTATTACACACTCATGGAAAAAAGCCTTGTTCTTGTATTCAGCACCTCAGTGATGGTGCCACCGTCCAGCCAGCTGTGGAATGAAAACCGCTAAACTTCATTACCCTTCTTTGTCAGTTCTGTTTCCCAAATCCACTAGGTAACATTCAATGAACATAGAAAAAGCCATTCACTGTGCCAAGAGTTTCTCATGAACCAATTTTTAAATGCCCACAGCTATTCAGTGAAGCCAGCATTAAAAGCAATCATTAGGGTCTGGAGACATAAACACATAGAATAAATGATTATGTTACAGTGCCAGTATGTAACAAGCACAAGGTGGTGTCCCTTATGAACACAGTTTTATGTGTGTAAATGTCCCACAAGTAATACTGTAAAACTATATATGATGCCATTCAGGTCTGTTGACCTACCTCTCCAACAGCAAGATGCATCTGGATGTCAATACCAAATGGAAGTGGAATCTTAAAAACAGATGGAAGTGGAGGTGCACATCTCTCTCCATCTCCTGGTTCCAAATTTCTCTGGGTATCTATTGCATCCGTCTCTCTTCCACAGGCAGAACACATTAACACATTAACGTAACATGTCTTACACATGCCTTGTAATGCATTATCTCAAGTGATTAAAGTTTCTGATTTCACGGAACCTGTGCCAGATATAGCTGAAGGTTCAGACTTTTAAGAGACAACAATCTTTTCTGACCTTATAGATACTCAGGATTATATCTAGCCAACCACAGTTTAAAGCGAGGTGTGGGGAAACTGAGTAACTTGCTCAAAGTCCGTTGGGAAGGCTAGACGCAGGTTGCTGACAGCAACTTCTCAATTGTTCTCATGCCTTCTCTGGGCCTTCTCCTCTTCGGATATACATGCTTTCACTAATTAAGTTGTCATATTTTTGCACCCAATGTTCCCTTTGCTGCATAACAGGCAATAACTGATGTGCCTGGTTTAAGTAGTAGACTGGAGTGTTCTCTGACGCCTGCAGAATTCATTTGGCATATGTCAGGTAAGCTGTAATTGTGGCGCTACTATATATTGAGCTTGGAAGTAAAATACTTCTCCCTTCACCATAAGGCTCGTGTGTTGAAAATTTCGTGCTTCCATGCAGCGGTGTTCAGATGTGGAGTATCTGAGAGGTGATTTGACCATTGGTAATGTCACGTTTGAATGGACTTATCTCTCTGTGCTTCCTGGACAGCTTTGCAGTATCACACACTCCCACCACGATACTGTGCCTCATCACAGGCAGAAGCACTGGGACAAAGTCTCTCAAACTGTAAGCCAATACATGTGTTTGTTCTTTTTTTGAAGCAGGGTCTCTCTCTGCATAGGGGTAGCTGTCCTAGAATTCACCATGCACACCAAGCTGGCCCCAAACTCACAGAGGCAGGTCTCTTCCTCTCAAGTGCTGGGATTAAAGACACACACCACCATGTCTTTATAACCAAAATAAATATTTCCTCCATTAAATTTATTTTAGGTATTTTGGCACAGTGATGAAAAGTGACTGACATATGTACTTCTGTTCTGCATGCTTTTTTTTTTATCAGATGGTCTTTTATTGAAATATTTTCTCTTGTTGCTTCTTAGCTAGCTGGACATTCCACAGCACCACTGTTGATGTCATCAATGATGTCATGAGGGTGGCGCCCATCCACATTGCAGCCCACAGACTGTGCAGTACCCAGGATCTCTTTAATAGTTCCAGAAAGTTCTCTGGCTAAAGACCTGTGTCGCATCTGCCGGGCAATGTTGACGATCTCATCGAAAGTGATATTTCCGCTGTGTTTAATGTTCTTCTGCTTCTTCCTGTCTCTTGGTGGCTCCTTGAGGGCTTTGATGATCAGGGCAGAGGCAGAGGGCACCACCTCAATCTGGGCCTGTCTGTTCTGGATGGTCAGTTTCACTGTAATCCTCAGGCCTTTCCAGTCACCGGTTGCCTTGGCAATATCATCACCAACTTTTTTCGGAGACAGACCCAGGGGGCCGATTTTGGGGGCCAAGGCGGATGTGGCGCCGACCTCACCTACGGTGCACCTCAGGTACACGACTTTGATCTCGTTGGGGTCGAACTTGGGCGGCATGGTGGAGGCGGCTGGTGTCGGATGAACCCGGATTCGGGACGACCGAAGAAAGTTGCACCGTTGCCTCCTCCGAACCGAAAACCGAAAAGACCTTCTGCATGCTTTTTAACATCAGTTTCCAGTTCCCATTAAAGTGAGAGCTCCCTGTAAATTATGCTTTTACAATCTTTAAGGACTGTTAAAATCCATGTGCATCATTCACTTATGTGAAGGTCTGGAGAATTTTTGAAATGAAGACTTCTATTTGCATTATCTTTATTAGTACTTTTAAATTTTAGTTTGAGTAAGAATGACATAATAATTGAGGAGCCTAGAAGTTACATTGTAAACAAGTTATCATGTGCTTCTGTTTCTGGTGAGTGTTAGGCCGTTTGCTTTGTTTTGTTTTTTAGGCCCTATTTTGAGTGACTCTTCTCTCTATAATAATAATAGGGAAAATTCTTAGGGATAAGGTAATAATCTTCATTTATGTTAGTAGGTATATGAAAATATTCATAAATGTTATGTCTTACACCATATGTCTTGCTACAGATGTTTCAGAATATTTCTGGGAAAATAAATCTATACTTCATCATTTATCACAACGTGTTAGATACTGTTCTGAATGCCAGGAACAAGAGCGAAATACCATTGTTCTTTTATTGGCAAGCAGGTAAACATGGGATAATGTAAGAAAAATTAGGTGGGATCACTAGAAAAGCGTGGACTCTCAGTTCTGATGACCTGGTAGAGGATAATTCCAGATTCCTTCTCATCCCCCGTCTCCTTTAGTCTTACCACCTTGCGTCATGAAGCCCTCTCCTTGACCCATCTTTTCTGTCTAAAATCTCTCTGCAGGTGGTTATGTCCAGTTCCATGTATTTAAATGTTATCTATAAACAGATAAATCTCAAGTCCACACTGACAACCCAGAACTTTCCCATGAGCTCCAAGCTTGTTGTCAATCAGCCCATCAAATATCTCCACTTGAAAGACGAATAGGCATGATTAGTTAATGTCGTCTACCCACAACTGTTGGTTTGGAACTCCAATAGTCAGATATAGATGCACCTTATTATAAAATAAAGGACTTTAAAGCAGTTTGAAGCTAAGACAGTTTTTTTAATCATATCTTGACTTTAAATCACTTTGGGCATTTATTATCATTCTTTGATCAAAGGCAGGTGGACTGATGTGGAGAGAGGCGGATAATGTGGGGGAATCTCTGGCCATGGAGTTATAGGAAAGATGAAAAGTGACATTGAAAGCAACTGGGGAGCTGGGGACAGGGATGTGATGGTAGAAACAATGAGATGGTGGGAGACTCTGCATTGCTGCCTTGTAGATAGAAGATGAAAGTGCCTGTTACTGTCCTTGCACGCTTATGGTTTCTACACCTTTGCCTTCTTAGCTTTGGAAACCTTTAAAAGTCTCATGCTGGCTAACTTTTCTCAGAGCAGTTCCCAGTCAAAGAGCTGGAGTCGTGTTGTTAGTACCCCCATTTTATGTATGGTTATCTATGGGATACTTTTTTTTGTTTGTTTTTTGTTTGGTTTGGTTTTTCAAGACAGGCTTTCTCTCTGAAACAGCCCTGGCTGTCTTGAAACTTACTTTGTAGACCATACTACCCGTGAACTCACAGAGATCCGTCTGTCTCTGCATCCCAAGTACTGGGATTAAAGGCATGTTCTGCCATCACCCAGCTATCTGTGAAATTTTTTCTTTAATATTTATTTTTTTATTTTATTTTACATTCCAACCACAGTTCTCCCTCCCACCCTTCCTCCCACCTTCTTCACCTCTCCCCCCAAGCCCACTTCCATCCACTCTTCCCAAAGGGTAAGGCCTCCCATGGGGAATCAGCAAAGCCTGGCACATTGAGGTAGAACCAAGTCCGTCCCACACTGCATTAAGGCTGAGCGAGGCATCTCACCAAAGGGAAGGGGTTCCAAAAGCTCTTACACCTGGGGCCTCTCAAATAGACCAAGATACACAGCTGTCTTCACCCATACAGAGGCCCTAGTTCAGTCCCATGGACGCTCTACAGCTATCAGTCTAGATTTCATGACTTCCCAAGAGCTTGATTTTTCTGCTATCTCTGTAGATTTCCCCCATCATGATCTTGACTTCTCTTGCTCATGTAATCCCTCCTCTCTTTCTTCCTCTGGATTCCTGGAGCTCAGCCTGATGCTTGGTTGTGGATCTCTGCACCTGGTCCCATCAGTTACTGGAAGGCTCTATGATGACAGTTGGGATAACCAACAATCTGATTACAGAGGAAGTTTAGGCACCCTCTTCACTATTACTAAGAGTCTTAGAGCTGGGGGTCATCCTTTGTGGATTCCTGGGAAATTCACTAGCACCTGGTTTCTCCCTGA